TATATATATATATGTATGTACAGACATCATGTATAGGTATTACGTAAATATGCGTGTCTGTGTGCACATTTTGAGAATATATACACATACACATATATATATATGTATACACATACATATGGTTACACAGGGGCACTTCGGGTGTATGGTTGGGAAGTAGTTGAGGCCAATCCTTACGGTACACGTTCATGAAGGCTCTGGAAAACGGACACCCGAAGCCCTGATAGGATCCCTTGAAGGACTCCTCACAAAGCCCTAGACCCTTAACCCTAAACCTTAAAACCCTAAACATCTCCAAACCCAAAATCCCTAACCGCAAACCCTAAACCCAAAATCCTTAACCCTAATCGATAAACCCCAAATCCTTAACCCTAAACGATAAACTCCAAATCCTTAACCCTAAACCCTAAACCCTAAACCTCAAAAAACTTAACCCATAAACCCTAAACCCTAAAACCTAAACCATGATCTCACACAGAGATCCGTCTGTACAAGGCCCTACCGAGCCAGAGAGCCCAATACCCCTTAATTAAGGAATATACCTTAAACTCTTAATATTAAGGCCCCTTATATTTTAAGGTCCCTAGACCCTAAACCCTAAACCGTAAACCCTAAACCGTGAACCCTAAACCCTAAACTCTGAACCCTAAACCCAAAACCGTAAACCCTAAACCCAAAACCCTAAACCCTAAACCCTAAACCCCAAACCCAAAATCCTTAACCCCTTCACTGCGGGGTATTGGGCTCTCTTAAAAGCCCCCGAGGTTTGGAGCCGTCGCTGCTGCGAGGGCTCGCCCGGCGTTTCCGCGTGCAGGCGCCGCCGTCACGCCATGGCTGGCGTCTTTTTTTGGAAAGGGGGGTTTAGGGTTGAGGGTTTAGGGTTTAGGGTTTAGGGGTTTAGGGTTTAGGGTTTGGGGGTTTAGGGTTTAGGAGTTTAGGATTTAGGGTTTCGGGGTTTAGGATTTAGGGTTTGGGGTTTTAGGGTTTTGGGCTCAGCTTTTTGTGGGAAGGGTGTTGGGGGTTGCCTGAACCCAAGATAACCTATTGTAAGTCCTTAGGGTTAGGGTTTAGGGTTTAGGGTTTAGGGTTTAGGGTTCTCCGGGTTTGTTCATGTGATGTCAAGTTAATGATTCTATGAAGGTTCCTTCAAGGGTTTTGGGGGTGTGATCGATTCAGGAATAGGTTTTGGCCCTAGACCCTAAACCCTAAACCCCAAACCCTAAACCCCTCAAATCCTAAACCGAGTTCGGGTTTGGCATCCGGAGTTCGGGAAGTGGAGTTGGCAGATGCTTTTGGACAAGGGTTTCGGAACCGGCGTTTCGGATTGTGGGCTGAAGACCTCCGATCCTTAAGGAGGGTAAGAGCAAAGCCCAGGCTCTTTAAGGCTCGTTGTGCTTCCTAAGCCCTAAACCCTAAACCCTAAACCCAAAACCCCTTAAATCCTAAACCGAGTTCGGGTTTAGGGTTTAGGGACAACCCTAAACCCCTGAACCCTAAAACTTGGAAAGCCCTATACCCTAAACCCTAAACCCTAAACCCTAAGCTTCTTCGTTGTGTCTCAGGTTGGTTTTGAAGTTGGCGTATCTAGGGGTTTCGCGGAAGATGTGCGGTGCAAGGAGGAAGGCACTGCCGAGGCTCTGCAAGCTGCTGTGACAGGGTTGTTTTGGGTTTAGATTTTGGGTTTAAGGTTTACGGTTTAGGGTTTAGGGTTGAGGGTTTAGGGGCTTTAGGGGCTACCGCACTCTGGCTTTACTGCGCTGCCGGCGTTTCCTCTTCGTCCTCTGCTACCGAGGACATCAGGCAGCGCTGCTTCTCGAGGACGCTCGCGCCACACCGCTGGGGGCGAGTGACACGGGGAGTGACAGTTGGTTGCTCGACTGGCACATGCGAGGACTTCGGAAGTGGTCGTGACGGAATTACGTCCTCTGGTGAAAAGTGAATGGGTGAACGAAAGACATGTGGCGGTGACAACCGGATCTCATCCAGCCTCTTGTGCATGCGGCTGTGACAGAGCTTTGCCAAACAAATTACCAGAACCACCCTAAACCCTAAACCGGCCCTAAACCCTCAACCCTAAACCCTAAACCCTAAACACCAAACCTCCTGTTGTTCCTCCCTACAAAGATTAGGAAAGCCCTCTGAAACTCTACAAAGCCTTGAGGGCCTTAGCTTCAGGGTTTAGGGTTCAAGCCCTCTGAAGCCCGACACAACTCTAAAGAGGGTTTAGGGTTCAGGGGGTTTAGGGTTTAGGGGTTCAGGGTTTCGGGGTTTTAAAGTTCAGGGTTTGGGGTTTTAGGAGTTTTAAAGTTTAGGCTTCAGGCTTTAGCAAACCTAAACCCTAAACCCTAAACCCTCAACCCTAAACCCTAAACCCTAAACCCTAAACCCTAAACCCTAAACCCAAACCAGAGCATCCGCTTGCCTGCGAGGCTTTGCCAACCACACCGGGCTCGGCTTTCCTATGCCGGAGAGCTGGGGTTCCATTTAAGGGGTTCCTTAAAGGGGTTTAGGGTTTAGGGTTTAGTGTTTAGGTTTAGGTTTGGGGTTTAGGGTTTAGGGTTTAGGGTTTAGGTTTAGGTTCCTTAAAGGGTTCTACAAGGGCTACTTTCAGGGTTTGGGGTTAGCTGCTCACCAATCCCGAAAATTTTGCTTTTTGCCTGCTACAGGGGGCTTCGATTGGATGCTTAAGGATTCCAGAAGGGTTCGGTAAGGTTTACCTCAGAAGGCAAGGCTCCTTGGAAGGGTTTACGAAAAGCTTCTGAAGGGTTCTACACGGCCCACCATTTCAAGCCCAAAACCCCAAACCCTAAACCCTAAACCCAAGGCAATACACCCTAAACCCTAAACCCTAAGCGCTAAACCCTAAGCCCTGAACCCTAAGCCCTAAACCCTAAACCCTAAGCCCTAACCCTAAGCCCTTAACCCTAAGCCCTAAGCCCCTAAACCCTAAAACCCTCATAAGTATTTATGGTCGAACCCCGCCCCAGCCCCAAGGTTCAGGGTTCAGGCGTTTAGGGGTTTAGGGGTTTCGGGGCTTAGGGTTTAGGGGTTTGAGTAGGGTTCAGGGTTTAGGGGGTTTAGGGGTTTAGGGTTTAGGGCTTTAGGGCGTCTAGGGGCCTAGGGGTTTATGCAAGCAGTCAGCAGACAATCCGAGCGAGAGCGACGCCTGGATCCAAAAGGGGGGGAGGTTTTAGGGCTCGAGGGGATTACGGGTTTAGAGGTTTAGGGTTTTTAGGGGTTTAGAGGTTTAGGGTTTTTAGGGGTTTAGAGGTTTATGTTTTACGGGGTTCCAGTTTTACGGCTTAGCGCAACAACCCTAAGCCCTAAGCCTTTTGATGTCTGCACCTAAAGCCCCCAAGCCCGGGGTCTGTGGCTGCTTTCTCAGGTCTTTCCGGGCTTCGGGTTCCACAAGGGTCTTATAAAGTCCTCTGCGGGTTCTGTAAGAGTCCGAGCAGGTTTCTATGCGGCAGGGCTGTATACAGGTTCTAGAAGGGCTTTGTGTGCAATGAGTTGTTGAGGGTTGCTTCGGGTTTCGAGTAGGGGATTGCTAGCATGTAAACCCGAAACCCTAAACCCCTTGGCTCCTGCATACCTCGTGGCACGGATTGGTTTCAAGTACGGCCACCACATGCTGTACCACGGGAAGGCGTTGGCAGAGAGCGCTAGTCTCAAGACAATTCATGAAGAGCACACACAGTCCTCTTCTTGCATCACACTTGCCTAGTCGAAGATCCATGGCTGCCACCGATGCTAAGGGTAAGAGCAGCAAAGGGAACGGGAAAACTCAAGAGGCAAAATCGGAGCCCCAGATTAACATCGTTGTAAGGCCAAAACAGGACACGCCAGAAACAAAGAGTGAAGTAGCAAGGCAACTGGCTTTCAGAAGTCCATCAGAAGAAGAAATCGAAAGGATGGACCAGATTGTCTCTGAAGATTCAGCAAGACATGTGGCAAAGCAGATTCTGCAAGAGACGAAAGCTCAGAAAGCAGCAGCAGAAGCCAAAGCAAAGGCTCAGGCAAAATTAGATCAAGAAAGAGCCAGGGAAGCAGAGCACAGTGCTCGCTGCATCATGCAAAAGTTGCTCAGGGTGGCTGCGCAAGCTGCCCATAGCAAGCTTGACTGTAATTACTTGTTCGGTTGAACATAGGTTTCTTTTGATGTAAAAAGGTTTGTGTAAGCTCTAGTCTATCTATTGTAGTGTTTCTTGCACAGTCTTGTGTTGAGGACCTGAAACCCTACTCCCTAAATGAGCCCTGAACCCTACACTGCACCCTAAACACCCAATTCCTCAACCCTAGACCCTAAAGCCTGAACCTTGGGAGCCCTAAAACCCCTGAACCTCAAATTTTAGGAGTTTTGGGTTTCGGGCGCCCAAAACTCCAAAAACAGGAGCCACGAACGGCTCCTCTGCCTGGTGCGAGTCCTCGTCGCTTGGATCTTGCCATTTTATTTCGGGCTTGTGGGGATCCCCTATAGGGAGTTTCCGAACATAAGGGGTACCTTATTTTGGGTTCATTCTGATAAGAATCCTACTATTTAGGGTACTTTTAGGGTCCCCTATTTTCGGAAGCCTACAAAAAGGGACTTAGTAATTAGAATAGGGTTTTGGCTTCTATGATAGTATGATCTTATCAAGGGAACCCTGAGGATACTGTTGATAATTTAGGAGCCCGCATAGACACTAATACTATTACCAGGGTTTAGGGTTTAGAGTTTAAGGTGTAGGGTTTAGGGTCTAGGGTTCAAATTAGAGTATGATTGTACCATAATGTGCCCAAACACCCTGTTCTAACTGTATCTCAGGCCTGTTGAGCTTCTCGCGATTGGGTCTTTAAGGCTTTGACGGTTTAGAGCCTAGAGTTTTAAAGGGCTACTTTTGGGTTCTAAAGACCCTGAAGGGTAATCTTTCGGTCCTCTAGTTTTAGGTTTTTTTTTGCAGTTTTTTTTTGGGCTTTGCTCCCAGAGTTTCTCGAGCGCCTGCCGTTCGGTTTAGGGTTTGGGGTGGATAGGGATTTCGGGGAACCTGCCCTGCCCGCACCTAGTCCTGTGCTCTACCCAAACTCTCCATGTCCGGATATGAGGAGGGTTGGAAGGTGGGTTGGCTGCTGAAAGTTTATACAAGGGCAGAAGCTCTGACAAATGCGGCCCCGAAGCCCTCAACAGCACATGACACAAAACCTTCCTGAAACCAGCGTTGAACCGCACACAACACTTCAACAACCGGTATAGAAGCTTACTTCGCCCAGACAGAGCCCAACCTCCATAGCACCAATGTGGAACCCTTATCCAGCCCTAGACAACCGATACATAACCTTACAAAACCTGTGAACACCCCGAAACCCCAAACCTAATTTCCCTAAGCCCTAAACTCTACATACCCCAAACCCTAAATCCTAAACCGCTACACCCCATCATAAACCTTGAGCCTTAAACTCCCTAAGCCTTAAACCCTAAAGTCCCTAAGCCCTGAAACCCTAAACTCCCTAAACCCTGAATCCTAAACTCCCTAAACCCCGAAGCTCTAAGATCTTTAAACCCCTACACCCTCAACCTCGCGAAGCTCGAGCCGAACCCCTTAATAGGAAGCCCTTAAAGTAACCTTCTATAGGGTTTAGGGTCTAGGGTTTAGGGTCTTGGGTCTAGAGTTTAAGATTAGGGTCTCGGGTTTAGGGTTAGGGTTTAGGGTTTAGGTCAAGGACCGTTATGACCGTTATGCAACCCTTACAGGGAGCCCTTGTAGGAACCCCTAGAGGGAACTCCCTTAAAGGGAGGGTGCCCTTGGCTTTAGGCCTGCGGCTTCGGCTGGGTGGAGGTGGAGCTTCGTGGGCTGGAGATGCAGGTGCCTCGATTGTTGATGCGATGATTGTTGCTACTTAGTAGTAGTAGTAGTAGTAGTAGTAGTAGTAGTAGTAGTAGGCGCCCTCCCCCTACCAACTACACTTGCTTAAAACCATCTTAAGAGCACATCCGTTTTACTCGGTATTTACAGCACTTTCGTCATGTACGATCATCATGAGAGGCCTCAACATCCACTTGCCGAGTTTGCTCACTCGGCCTCTTGATTTTGGACTTGCTGCGGGGGGGCGGGGGTGGGGGGGTGGGGGGGGGATG